AAACGATAAAGGAGGAGGCCTAGAAGTAAATGGCACATTTCCTGTGCAGATATATCACGCTTCACAACAGTTTGAAGCAGTAGACGTTGAACAACATCAAGAGACGAATCACTTGGATTACTGTTATTGAGAATTCTGGTTAACATATCCAAAAAGAGTGAGGTTCAGATTTACTTGCGTATTTTGCAATGTAATTCAAAGCAACTTTGATGCTTAGAATAGGTTTCAAGTCAACGTTCGCACGCCAACCTTGAAGCTGCAAGCGATCATGAGGATTAATAAGTGGATCATTTTTTGCAGTTATTAGTTCTGGTTGTCCATTATCATCTTGCAGGTATATATTTTCAACGATTTCTTTCGGATATCCAAATCTGCAAGATTGATGTCCTAAACAATCAATACGAAGACAATAAGATGCGCTACATCGCGTATGCCATTGCAGCTTGTTAATCAGATCAACATAATTCTGATTGTCATATAGCAGCTCATTAGAACGTTTCTGACAAGGATGACACTCAGGGATCTGTGCATCAAGCCCAGGATTAATTGTAGTAACTAAAGAATCCAGGTATTGGATCACATTAATCATTGATTCTTCATCCTCTTTCATTTTTTTCCAATCAATAACAGAAGCATTTCTCCTTTTAGCTACACTATGAACGTGAGAGCTTCCACAATACTGCCACTCGTAACAGAACTACTAATCCTCAAGGTTCCATTTAGGAACCAGTACTTTTTCAAAAAATAGTTCAAAGCATCTTTCAAAAAACCAAGCAGTAATATGAGGATTGTCAATTAAGTCTTGGCGTCTGTAAGTGATCACTTCCTGCTCAGATAATATACTCAGAGAATTTCTATGTGGCATAAGCCTGTGTGGATCAGGCCAATGGAAATCGGCAGTGCTAAAGGTAAAAAATAGCATGCCATTCATTCCCAATTGATTAATCATGTCTTTCAGTTCTGATCGACGTCTGTTCCAAAACTGATGAGAATCGCACAAACTTTTTCCAAATTGTATAATTTTATCCACCATATGATTATCATTCTCAAGCATTTTCTGTAAATCTTCAACGGTACATTGACCGTCATTTAAACTCTGCTTTACATAAACTTTTCCCTCTTGCAGGGCCCTTCAACGCATTTGCGAGTTCAAAGTAAAGTAGCGCCAATGAGTATGATGAGCGAATCAGCCATCTTTGTACTTGAGTAAGTGCGAAAAATACTTGGCCGATTTTACATCTCTAGCACGTTCCAAACGAAGATCGGCAGCTCCAGTAGGTATAAGGTCAGAAATGCACAAACAATATATCCAGGAGTTTGGAATTCATTTACCGGAACTCCATCTATATTGGGCCACAGGGTCAGTTCAGTTTCGGCTTGTAATCGAGTAAGTGTATCAGTAATAGCAGTATTTTCTTTAGGGGTAGGAAAGGTAATGGGAATAAAATTATTAACCATTGAATCATCGAGGTTATCTGCGTCATCAGAGATTTCATCACTTATATCTTCAAGTTGAGGAATCTGATCATTAAGAGAGCCATTATCAAGTAAAGCTCTCAAAACTTCTTCATCAATGACGATATTAGAATAGTAACGATTATTATGCTTCAACCAGTGAAGAGCACAAGATACCATGGAATGACATATGTTAAAATCTTTAAATGCTCTACTATTAGAAGAGCGACGATATACAACAAGAATATCAAGCGATGATGGATAATGAGGTAGATGTGTAGCGAATTCCTGAACGTCTTGAGAAAAATTAATCACGTTATCCTGATACGCATATTGGCCACCACTCAGATGATATACAGAGACGATGGAAAATATCTGGGCAATGAGCATCTCTTCTATTTGAGTAAGACCTTGTAGTTCCTCAAGTACATCACCTGGATCCATATTATTTCTCAATGAGAACTTTTTCAATTCAGGATTCAATTTAAGTCTTTTCAACTCTTTAATTTCTGAGTGGTAACGACAAAATTCACCACATACAAATTCGATTGACGAAAAACATTCATTGCATACAGTACAAAGATTATTAGTGAACTTATCAATTTTAGAGCGAAATTTATGGAGTAAGTTTAAGTCAGAATCGGGAAGACAATGGTTATCAATGATATAATGCGAAGCATTTAGCTGGTCATTTATAATATGGAGTGGAACATCATACTGGTGATTTTCACGATTATTGCGATTAATAGAACATCTTTCACAGTTCTTACTTAAACGGGTTTTTCATTGTTCAGCATTTTCATTTGACCTTTTAACACGTTTTCTTTCTCAATCGCGTTTTTGACGAAGGTTGCGTTGTTCAAAAGTCTCATTTTTTCTTTCTTTACATTTTCGAAGGGTATCACAAAGAGAGCATTCATCCATTTCACAGATATTATGTATGGCGAGCAGATACAAAATTTAACGAAACAAAGTAAAAAAAATAATAAAACTTAAAAGACAAAAAGCTATATTATTGTATAATTCTATCGATTAATATAAGATACAAATAACAACTTTATTTTTATTAGCTTGCAACAGTATTTATTTTTAATTTTTAAGTTTAATATATATAACGACAAAAAGAAGATGATAAATAAATAACACGACACGGAGTAGCTATAAAAAAGGATTTGGTCATATGAATAACAAAATAAAAAAAGTGTAAAACGTGATATCATAACAATACATATTATTGGCAGATCACGCGTGCGGACAGACATTGCATGCATATGTATGCATAAAAGCAGGTCTAACTGTATATGTCCTTCAGCTAAAGCTTCAGACAAATTACCAAGAAATATAAGATTATATAATAACAATTATATTCATTTTATTTCTGTTTGCAAATAAACTATAAGTGATAACAAAATTAAAACGATTATAATAAGCATAAATATTGTGTGAATGATAAGCAGGTAAAGAAATAATATATATATAGTATACTGTACATATATAAACTATTATTAAAAAGATAAGAAAAATATCATTTTTATTTTTATTCTTATTATTATTCAGAGATGACAGAAGAAAAAATAAGATTGAATATTACAAGTAATATATAAAAGATTATATATATATATATAAATAATGGGTATACTTTATGTACATATTTAATACTATTATTAAAGATAGGTCATGAGGTAAAATTAAATTTACATATAAGAATAGATATATTATTATGTACTTTAAATACAACCTTATAACAAAAAATCTTCAAAATGATATAAATGTTAGTAAAATTTGGATATGTAAAGAAATGTTACTGAAAAATATATGCGTAGCATTTATTTTTGAAGTGTATTCTGCTTAATATCAGTTGAATTATTAATTATCATCTAATGCAAAGATAAAGGAAGCTATTTATTATGACTTTGTGTATACATACATACATTTTATAGAGAATTCATTTATATCCAACTATCATTGCTTTTTTCTGCATAATGGTTAGAGTTTATGTGGTTAGCTCTCATTCAACTTCCCAAAATTGATTCTTCAATAGCAAAACTAACAATATTGCAATTTAAAAATAATATTTTTATTTTTTATTTATTATTTTTTATTAATATTAATAAAAAAACCAAATTCCTAAGATTAAAAATAAGTTTATACTGTTTAAAATTATATATACATATTTAAAAGCTTGTAAATAATAAGTGTAATGTTGAAAATACAAAGAAAAAATATTTTTTAAAACTAATGGTATTTTTTAAGCTTTAGGAAAAGATATTTTGAAAAAAATTTATATCAAAAGAAAACTAAAGATTTTTTCTTACAAGTATGAAAATTTTAACTAGGATTAATTTGTGAATTTTTGGTATACAATATGTACATGTTTTATGGTTTATTTTATTTTACTAATAAATACTATGAATTTCATATAGGGTGACAGTTTTAAAATTGACAAACCTATAAGTGTAATATTGAGTTGTTCTCTATATCCCTAGGTGATATATAGAATTACCTCTATATAAAAATAACAATATAAAATTAATTTACATCAGATCTACTATGAAACTCAAGAACTATAGTACAATCAAAAGCATTTTAAAAAAAGAACAAGGTGAAAAAATTGCTCCTTACATTTACAAAATAAATGATATTCAAATGCTAAAAGTTTATCTAAGAAAAGAAAGGATTACTTATGAAATTTACCAAGAGAAAAGAGTTTTCAAAAGAGTATTAGAAAATTTTAGTAAAGAATTAAGAAAAAAAAGAAAACTGGCAGAATAATTTGATAAAACAAATAATTACTTTTTTTTAACTTTGTTAATTTTTTAATTACCTTTTATTTTCAATCAAGATCATCTTTTAGTCTCTTTAACTTTAATTTGAGCAACTTGTTAAGAAGTTAACTGCTCTAACTGAGTCTTTAACCTTTTGATTTCCTCTTTGTGATTACCATTCTCTTCTTCTAACTGCTTAATTCAGTCTAATAATTTTTGCTTTGTCTTTTACTTCACTCCTCAAATTTTTCTTGAAATTTGACTGCTTCTTCCCTTTCAATTTCTAAGGCTTCTTCAGTCTTGCTTAGTTGTTCTTGTAGGAAGTTTATTTATCTTTTATAAAAAGTAAACTGACTTATTTTTTCATGAGGTAAGAAAGGAAATTTCTTCTCTTCTAAATCTTTATTGTTTCTAATACAGTAATAAATATTCTTACCAGTAATAATATCAAAATCTAACTTAGTTTACAATCTACCACATCCATTGCATTTTGACAATTCATTATCCCAATACTTTTCTTCACATTTTTCATAAACCATATCATCTGAAATTCATTCTCCAGTTACTTTACTACGAGATCTTATTTGATGAACAGATTTATTATTTTTGTTTTCAAATTTAGAGCAAAAATCACAAGTTTTTTTACTTTCTTTTTCCAATTCTAAAACTGTGTATTCCAGTTCTCTCATTATAATTTACTCATTATTTAGACTTAACTTCTATTTGAGCAATTACTTCTTGGTTGTGAAATTTTTCTCTTTTGATTAACTTTTGTAATTTTTAGAACTTAACTTTTGCTTTTGTTTTTAATTGCTTAAAAATGTTCTGTATAATTGATAACTTGTTCTCTTTTACAGGTAAAGCAGATAAGGGTTTATTATCTAAGTAGAATGAATTCTTTAGATTTTCATTTTGTGTTTCACTATCAGTTAATTGCTTACTTAGTTTTTCTATTTTTTTGTTTTTTTGACTTGATTCTTCCTCCAACTTTTCAACTTGGGCTTCTAGATGAGAAATCTTTTTACTAGCACTTTCAAGTTTCTTGTTTTTTTCTTTTATGTCTTCTGCTTGAGTTTTGCTTCATTTTTCATCAATTGCCACAACTTCCTTAACTTATTCCTATTCTATTTCTACTCTTTCTTTTAACTCTTCTGCCTCTGTTTCTAAATCTTTAATTCGTTCAATCTTGCTTCTTATAATATCTTTAAAAATTATATTCTTAGTAGGCTTGCTTCAAATATTACTTCCTTCTTCTATTCAAAAAAAAATATGAGCTCTTTGATTTCATAATTTTCAATTTTTTTTCAATTCAGTGGCTAACTCAGTGTCTTCAAAGTAATCTATAATAATTCACTTAACAACTTTTTCTAGATTTTCTTTACCTTCCTATTTATAGTCATGCATAAGGCTACGTTGAAAACAAACAGTCATAAATTGATTTCTTAATGGTTTGCTAATCAATTTTCTTAGATCTTGCTCAATATTCTTGCTACAGTGAGAAAATCTTTCCCTCATATCTATTAATATTTGATGAATTCTTTCTGTTGCTTCTTACTTGAACTCTGTTTTCTCTTCTTCACTTACTTTTTCTAGATTTTTTAATTCAGTAATTTCTTGTTCTTTATTGGATAATTGCTTTTTCAATGTTTCATTTCATTTAATAATTCTTTGTTTGCTTGTTGTTATTCATTTATAATATTTATTATAATTTTTATTAATAATTACTTAATATCTTTCTTGCATTATTAAGTATATAATTATTTTATTAGTTTATTTTTAAATTTTTATTTGTTGTCAGCATAAATTAGTTTTGAATAAGTAATATCTTTGAATTTATCTCTAATAAATGAACGAATATTATGATAAAGATATTCTTACCTTTTGTAATCCAAAGGAGGTGATTTTAATACTAAAATTGATAAAAATCTAATTTCTTCAAAGATATCTGTTTTCTTGGATTTCAATAAATTAAACTCAACAAAAAATCCATTAACAACTTCTTGAACTTTTACTGCACCAAAATTAGATGCTTCAAAAAGAAAATAATGATATTTCTAAATACCTGATAATTTCTTAAAATCAATTTCCAAAATTGCTTTAATATCTAAATATTAAAAACCTTTTTTACCTTCATAACATTAAGTTTTATTCAATCCAACTGGACTAGATCTTTTTATTACCTCAACCACATGATTCAAACAATCTACTCTTGTTTTTCTATAGAGTTTTTTGATCAATCCAAAACTACCATCACACTTAAATTTAATATATCTTGGAATCATGAAATTCAATTCAATACTTTCATAATATCCACAAATTACCAAATATAAATAAAACCAAATTGTTACATTATTTTTATTTTGTCTCTCAGCATTATTACAAGTAATCTTTAAATACTTTTCACCTTTATTTAATTTCTTAATTCCATCAAAAATCATACTAAGAGTATCATTAGAACCTTTTCCTATAATTTTATCTTCATTAAGAACATAATTAATTTGTTTCCTTACTGCTTCATCTTGAATACCAAATAAATGAACTTTATATAGACTAAGGTAATAAATTTTACTTACTTGCTGATCAGAATGTGATACATGAACATTTTGGACTCAATCATAACTATAATGAGCAGTAACATCAATGCTGCAATATTGTGTTTTATCATTTGAATAATTTTGATTAATCAATTTTCTTTGTTCTTCTGCTAATTTGGTATTTTTATTATACCGTATATTGCGGGCCAAAGTACCCCCCTATGTATAGTACCCCCTCAAAAAATTTTTGCGTGATTTTAAAGTACCCAGATACTATACACAAAAATTTCAATTTTGGTCATCAAAAATTTGTTAAGTATCCGGGGTATAATACTAGGAAATAATATATATGATGTATA